AGATAAGATCTACAAATGCAGTAAGTACTAAACATTTAAAAATTTATTACAGTGAAATACATACTTACCATTAATCTCCCTCAAAACATTCCCCCTTCCTTCAAACACAATTTTCCCATTGTTCTTGCTGATTTCTGAAGCATTTCTGGACGTCCTCTTTCATGAATGTCTTTAGCTACACTGTTGTGGCTGCCTCAGTGCCCTGAATCAGTTCAGAATGTTTACTTTTCGAGATCATTTTGCTTTGAGGGAGACCTCGAAGCCTTCTGGTGACAGACTTATGAGTGAGGTGAGTGAGGGCACACCATAATGGGCTTTTGGCTTTGCTTGGTTATTTATTTATTTCTTTGTTTTTTGAGGCAGCACCTTGTTGTGATTCCAGCTTGCCTTGAGCATGCTCTGTAGGCCGGGCAGGGCTAGTATTTGTGGTGACTCTTCTGCCTCAACCTGGAGGTGCTGGGATTACAGGTGTGCACCACCACGTCCAGCTCACCATCATGTTTTTATTTGGCAGAACGGCTGTAAATGTTTTGAATTACTTCAGGACACTGAATTACCCATGGAAAAAAACACCCATGAAAGAAGATTTCCAGAACTGCTTTAGAAAGCGTCGAGAACGGTGGGGTAAATATGTTCAAAATGAAAGAAATTATTTTTAGAGGGATTCATGGAAATGTGTCTTTTTCTGTAATATTTTAATTTAAACATTCACAGTAGCTTTCTCTCTCTCTCTCTCTCTCTCTCTCTCTCTCTCTCTCTCTCTCTCTCTCTATCAGAAATCAAACGCAAGGGCTGTGCAACTGAGCTGTATCCCCTGCCTGTTTCTTTTTTAAGAGTAGAAAAATTTATTGGAGAAAAGGAACTGGGAATAAGAATGGGAGAGTGGGAAAGAGTTCTTGAGAGACAGGAGGGGTCCCAAAGGGGTTGTCAATGAGCCCGCCTCTCAAAGGAAGTTTTAAAGATCAAATTCAGAAAGTGGGTATGATGTGTTTATTAAAACAGAAACGCTAAATCTATTGGAAGACAAATTGGGTAAAAACCTTAAAGACATAGGGGTAGCTAGAGAATCAAAATTATGATCAACCAATAAGATTGCAAGTAAAGTTGCTAAGGTAATAGTGATCCAGTAGTAGCAAGGGTACAGCGGTGATATCATTAATCTTGGTTGGTAATCTGTAGTCTTAGTGTTTTTAGTCTTAGTCTTAGTGGGTGGAAGAGGATGGCCCACTCCTAATGAGAAAATGGGAAATCTCGAAGGTTGATCCCAATAACCCAACCCTCGTTCATCCCCTAGGGAAGTATGTAAATCTGGCCATTGTGATTTTAATCATCCGCTGTGCCTTCAGCCACAGTTCTGATGCATTCTCATGTTCTACACTGATTCCCTTGAGGGCCCAGCCCTGTCTGAATGCCTACTCCATTTCTACCTAACTTATCTGTCTGTAATATTCTCCCCTCTGAAGAGTTACCCCTAACTACAGTTTGCAGAGAAGGGGCAGAGTTTCCATCTACCCAGCTCAGAAGGGTCAATGTGGGGGAAACCTTGGTCAAGGGCCTTCTCCAGAGAGCTAATCTAATGGGCCTCTGACAGAAGTCACTTTGTTGTTTAGCAGTTAGGAACTCCTTTTTTTTTTTTTTTTTTTAATTTAAAGAAAAACAAAACAAAATGAAACAGTAAAAGGGTACAAGTAATACAGAATTTCAAAAAAAAAACAGTAAGAAATCACTAGTTAATAGATTATATATTGTCATCTTAGAAATAGTTGATCAAGTTACAAAATTAAGCATACAAAGTAGACATTCAAACATGAGACTGCAAACAGTTGTGTTCAGTGATCCAACAAAAACTTAGTAATATGGTCATCTATCTTATACATCTAAACACACTTGCATTTGTGTCCTTTAGAGCACTTTCTTTCCCTCTCTTTTTTACAATAACATTTACACATTTTGGGTTTTATTACTCCCACAGTTCTTATTACTTTTTTTTTTTTTGAAGAGAGTAAAACCAAATGTGACAAAACAAAGCAGTCAGTCAAAACAAAGGATGGACATAGTACATGATGTAAAAACAGAATATAAAGTAATTAACAATGTTTACCATAGTGCTTCTTGCTACCTTAAAAAGAATTGCCTATATCATTAGGTATAATAAAATTGAACAAAACCAATAAAACCTAAACATTGGAGACATTACTGAACTTCAAAAGAAGATAATAGTCAAACCAGAATGGGCATCATAGTGAATCTTCTTGCCTTCAAAGTACTTGCCTATACCCTCAAAACTGATAATACCAAACAGAACAAAATAGACTAAATCAGTCAAAACAAGATGGTGAGAGCAATACAGGGCTTCAAATCAAGTTAATAGGAAATCAAAAAAGTTACTAATATATATTCTGCTAATTTAAAAAAAATTTTCCCTTAATTAAAAAATAATAAAAAATAAATAAATTTTAAAAAGGGGGGAGATTGAGATAAAAGAGGACATAGCAACATAACAATACAGGTCAGAACAGAACAATTTAAGCAAATAGTGTTTCACCACAAGATAACCCGACATAATAGTAGTTACCATAGTGTCTCTTTCCTTGAAATATTTGAGTATAACTTTGTACACTGTAACATTAAACATATCAAGACAGTGTGAAACCATTCAAGAGGATGAAAGTATTACAGAGTATTTAGAACCAGCTAACAGAAAATAAACAATGCTTTCTATATTATCTCTTTGCCTATAAAAAATTTTGTTTACACAATCACATATAATAAAATCCAATAAGATACAGCATGATAAAAGCAATGGAGACAGAAGAACTACAGTTTGATGGGACTTCAAAACAAGCTGATATTAAATCAGCACTAGCTATTATGATGTCTTGTTTTCTTCAAAACAGATATTCATATTATCACAGACAATAATATGAAACAGCCCAGAATGAAACCATTCCAATTAATGAGTGAAAACTTTATAAGGCTTCAAAGCCATATAATGGGGAATCATGATTACCACATACTTTTATGTATTTGTATCATTTCTTACACTAGAGAAACTATTCCGTATTCATACATGTGAGTTTGATTTATTTCACTTAAGAGTATGGTCTCAAGCCGCACCCATTTATTTATAAATATCTCAATGTGATCCTTCTTTATACTTGAGTAGTACTCCATCATATAAAAATACCACAACTTTTTTATCCATTCCTTAGTTGATAGACGCTTAGGTTGTTTCCAAGATCTGGCAATTACAAATTGTGCTGCTATAAACATGGGTGCACATATATCACTGTGGCATGATGTTTTCAGTTCTTCTGGGAATATGCCTAGAAGTGGAATAGCTGGAACAAATGGGACTTCCAATCCAGCTTTCTGAGAAATCTCCAGACTGACCTCCACAATGGTTGCACCAGTCTACACTCCCACCAACAGTGCAGGCGAGTTCCTTTTTCCCCACAGCCTCTCCAGCATTTGTTGTTGATGGTTTTCTTGATCCTGGCCATTCTTTCAGGAGTGAGATGGAATCTCAGTGTGGTTTTAATTTGCATTTCTCTAATGAGTAGTGATGATGAATATTTTTTCATGTATTTATTTGCCATTTGTATTTCTTCATCTGAGAATTGTGTATTCATCTCAGATGCCCATTTTTGGATTGGATCTTTGAATTTTGGGGGTCTGATTTTTTAAAATTCTTTATATGTTTTGGCCAGAAGTCCTTTGTCTGAGGGAGAGTTCACTAAGATACTTTCCCAATTTGTGGATTTTCTTTTCACCATGATGGAGATTTCTTTTGACATGCAGAAACTTTTTAATATGAGGTGATCCCAGTTATTGATTCTGGGAGGTATTTCCCGTGTGGTTTGAGTTCTGTTCATGAATTCTCTACCTCCCCCTATGTCTTCAAGGTTTTTACCCAATTTGTCTTCCAATAGATTTAGTGTTTCTGTTTTAATATTCAGATCTTTGATCCATTTAGATTTTAATTTAGTACATGGTGATAGGCATGGGTCTAGTTTTAGTTTTCAGCATATGGAGAGCCAGTTTTTCCAACACCATTTATTAAAGAGACTGTCGTTCTTCCAGTGAACCTGCTTGGCTCCTTTATCAAAGATAAGGTGGTTGAGTGTGTTTGTAGTTGTGGTTGTATCTTCTAATCTATTCCATTGATCTTCGGCTCTGTTTTGATTCCAGTACCATGTTGATTTTACTACAGTTGCTTTGTAGTATAATTTCAAGTCAGGGATTGTGATGTCTCCTGCCTTGCCTTTACTATTCTAGGTCTCTTCTCACTCCAGATGAATTTTAGGTTTGATTTCTTGAGATCTATGAGGTGTGTTGATGATATTTTTATTGGGATTGCATTAAGTCTGTATAACAGTTTCAGGAGAATGGCCATTTTCACAATATTTATTCTTCCTATCCATGAACAAGGGATGTCTTTCCATTTTCTGAGATTGTCTTCAATTTCTTTTTTCAGTGTATTATAATTTTCCCTGTATAGGTCTTTCACTTCTTTCATGAGAGTAATTCCTAAATATTTCATTTTTTTGGTTGCTAGTGTGAAGGGTGTGGCTTCTCTTATTTCTCTGTCAGTGATTTTGTTGTTAGTGTATAGGAATGCTATTGATTTTTGAGTATTGATTTTGTTATCCAGCTACATTGCTGAATTTATTTATTATATCTAGGAGTCTTTCAATGGAGTTTATGGGGTCTTCTATGTAGACTATCATGTCATCTGCAAACAATGATAATTTAACTTCTTCTTTTCCTATCTTTACCCCTTGATTTCTCTCTGGTATAATTTCTCTGGGTAGTATTTCCAGTACTATATTAAATAGGAATGGTGATAAGGGACATCCTTGTCTTGTGCCTGATTTTAAAGTAAAGGCCTTCAATTTTTGGCCATTTAGTATGATACTGGCTGTTGGTTTGTCATAGATGGCCTTTATTATTTTGAGGTAAAGACCATCTATTCCAATTTTCTGTAAAATTCTTATCATAAAAATATGGAACGCTTCACAAATTTGCATGTCGCCCTTGCACAGGGCCGGTGCTAATCTTCTCTGTATTCCAATTTTAGTATATGTGCTGCCACAGCGAGCACGAGTTAGGAACTCTTTACAGGGATGATCTGGTGGATTCGTCTTCGGTTCCATCTGCGCGATCACTTGGTGTTGACAGCCTCAACTGTGGCTGGGTTAGCAGCTGAATCTGTCTTTCCAAGCATCTCAGTGGGACCTCCAAGAGGGTACAGGGGAAGCGATAGGTGTCAGTACGCCTCATCCCTGTCACCTGAAGCTGAAGAATGAATTATAAGGATCAATGGAGGTTGAGGAGGAAAATTCACTGGAGAAAAGGAGCGGGTGCAGGAATGGAGAAATGAGGTAGGAATAGCTCCGCAGAGACAGGAGGGGGCCCAAATGGGCACACCTCGTAGTACCATACAGAATAGTTTCACTGCCCTAAAAATCCCCTGTGCCCCGCCATCGAGCTTTTCTTTCTCTCTAATTCCTGGCACTCAAGATCCTTTTACTGTCTGCACAGTTTAGGCAAACATCTTGATTTGTCCCATTACAAAGTAAAGATGTTTACTTTGCCCACTTAATTAAGGTGATGTCTGCAAGGCTTCTCTATAATGTTACTTTTTGACTTTTTTTAAATGAAAAAAGTAATGATGATACAGAATTTCAAAACAAAATAATAGGAGATTAATAAAGGTTAATATATTGGCATATTGTTATTTTCAAAGTAGTTGCTCAGATTACAAGATATAGGCATGAGAATGATCGATGAAAGCACAAACCATTTTTTTTGATGAACTAACAGAGATTAGTAGTAGTATTATCTAATATATATGTGAATATATATTCCTGTCCCTTCATTATTTTCTCCTTTCTGCCATCACAATTGTTCTTTTTTTTGAGCAATTTTTCCCTTTTCACTTTCACAGTATGTATTGTACATTTTGTATCTTATTTACTCTTTCAGTTTCTTAAGGAGATCATGCAATGTTCACACACGTGAGTCTGATTTATTTCACTTTTATTATGGTCTTAAGTTGTATTTATTTACCTATAATAGCCTCAAGTTTATCCTTCTTTATGGCTGAGTAGTACTCCATTGCATAAAAACACATCTTTTTTTTAAAATCCATTCCGTAGTTGATGGGCATTTGGATTCTCTTTAAGATTTAGCCATTACAAACTGTGCAGCTATAAACATGGGTGCACATATATTGCTGTGGAATGATGTTTTCAATTCTGGGAAAATATCCAGAAGGAGAATAGCTGGATTGAATGAGACCTCCAAACCTGAGATTCTTCAAACCTGAGGAATCTCCACACTGCTTTCCACAAAGATTGTACCAGTCTACACTCCCACCAACAGTGAAGAAGGGTTCCATTTTCCCTACAGCCACACCTGCATTTGTTATTGGTTGGTTTCTTGATGATAGCCATTCCTTCTGGAGTGAGATGCAATCTCAGAATTATTTAAATTTACATTTCTCAAATGACCAATGATGTTGAATAGTATTTCATATATTTACTTGCTGTTTGTATTTCTTCATCTGAGAAGTATGTATTCACTCAGATGCCCATTTTTGGAAAAGATCTTTAAATTTTGGAGGGAGGCTGATTCTTTTAGTTCTTTATATGTTCTAGATAGAAGTTCTTTGTCTGAGGGACAGTTGGCTAAAATTTTTTCATTCTCTGGGTTATGTTTTTACTCTGCTGGGGATTTCTTTTGGTATACAAAAATGTTTAAATAAGATAAGATCCTGGTTGTTGATTCTTATAAGTACTTCCCATACACTTCGGGTTTTGTTCATGAACTCTTTGCCTACTCCTATGTCTTTAAGATTCCTACCTACCTTGCCTTGCAGTAAATTTACTGTTTCTGTTTCAAAATTTAGACCTTTGATCCACTTTGACTTTAGTTTAGTGCATTGTGATACATACACCTAGTCTTATTTTTTGGCATGTGTAAAGTCAGTTTTCCCAGCGCTATTTATTAAAGAGGCTATGCTTCCTCCAGTGAACGTTTGGCCCCTTGGTCAAATATCAGGTGGCTGAGTGTCTTTGTAGTTGTGTTTGCATCTTCTAAATTCCATTGATCCTCAGCTCTATTTCTTTGTCAGTACCATGCTGATTTATCACTGTGGCTTTGTAGTATAGTTTCAAATCTGGAATTGAGATTCCTCCTGCCTTGCTTTGTTTCCTTTGCTATTCTAGGTTTCTTCTGTTTCCAAATGAATTTTAGGAGTGTTCTCTCTAGATCTGTGAGGTATGCTAATGGTATTTTGACTTGGTATTTGACAGTTTTGGGAGTATGGCCATTTTCACATTGTTCATTCTTCCTAGCCAAGAGCAAGGAATATTCTTCCATTTTCTAATATCCTCTTCAACCTCCTTTTTTAGCATAGCATAATTTTCAGCATATGTAGGTCTTTTACATTCTTGGTTAGGTTGATTTCTAAGTATTTCACTTTTTTAGATGCTATTGTGAAAGGTGACATTTCCATAATTTCTCTCTCAGTGAGATTTTTGTTTGTGTACAGGAATGCTATTGATTTTTGAGTGTTGACATAGCTACAGTGCTGAATTTGTTTCTTACCTCTAATAGTCTTTTAATGGAGTTTTTTGGGTCTTCTATATAGAGTATCATATCATCTTCAAATAGTGACAATTTAACTTCTTCCTTTCCTTTTATTTGTCTCTCTTGTCTGATTGCCCTGGCTAGTATTTTCAGAACTATATTGAATAGGAGTGGTGATAGTGGACATTCTTGTCTTGTTCCTGATTTTAGAGTAAAGGCTTTCAGTTTTTGTCCATTTAGTATAATGTTGGCTGTTGGTTTGTCATAGATGGCCTTTATGAGATTGAGGTAGACACTATATATTCTGAGTTCTGAAAGGTTTTTATCATGAACATGTGTTGGACTTTATCAAAAGCTTTTTCTGCATCTACTGAGATGACCATGTGGTTTTTGTTTTTGGCTCTGTTGATGTGATGTATAACATTTATTGATTTGCATATGTTAAACCATCCCTGCATTCCTGGAATGATTCCCACTTGGTTGTGATGTGTAATCTTCTTGATGATTTGCTGCATTTTGTTTGTCAGTGTTTTATTGAGAATCTTTGCATCGATGTTCATTAGTGAGACTGTCCTATAGTTCTCCTTTTTGGTTGGGTCTTTCTCTGGTTTGGTATCAGAGTAATACTTGCCTTCAGGAATGATTTAGGGAGAACTGCTTCCTTTTCATCTTCATTGAAGAGTTTAAGGAGTATTGGCATCAAATCTTCTCTAAATTCATTGTAGAATCCATCAGGACCTGGGCTTTTCTTTGTTGGTAAGTTTTAAATTTCATTTTCAATTTCAATAGCTGACACTGGGTTATTCAAAATTGCTATATCTTCTTGGCTGAGCTTTGGTAGTTCATATGTTTCTAGAAATCTGTCAATTTCCTCTGCATTGTCCATTTTATGTGAGTAGAGATTTTCAAAGTAGGTATTCATGATCTTTTGAATTTCCATGGGATCTGTAGTAATTTTCCTCTTTTCAGTCCTTATTGCATGAATTTTAGTTTTTCTTTTTCTGTATAAGGTTAGCTAGAGGTTTGTTAATTTTGTTTGTCTTCTCAAAAACCAGCTTTTTGATTCATTGATTCTTTGTATTGTTTTTTAGTTTCAATTGCCTTGATTTCTACTCTAATCTTTACAATTTCCTCTCTTCTATGAACTTTTGGTATAACTTGCTCTTCTTTTTCTGGAAGCCTGAGATGAAGCATTAGGTTATTTATTTGTGCTCATTCTGTTTTCTTGATATGATAATTTATTGCTATATATTTCCCTCTTAAGACTGCTTTTATTGCATCCCACAGATTTCAGTATGTTGTTTCTGCATTTTCATTGAATTAAAGGTATTGTTTTATTTCTTCTTTCATTTCATCTGTAGCCTACTGGTTGTTCAGAAGGTCGTTATTTTTTTCTTTTTCTTTTTCCTTTTTATCGGTACCAGGGATCGAACTCATGACTGCCTGCTTGCAAGGCAGGCGCTTATGCTGCTAAGCTAAATCCCCATCCCCCAGAAGGTCGTTATTTAAGTTCCATGTATTTATGCAGGTTTTGCAATATCTTTTGCTATTAGTTTCCAATTTCAGTGTGCTATGGTCAGATGTTACACATGGGATAATTTTAATACCTTTTCATGTACTTAAGAATGTTTTATGGGGTAATACATGGTCTGTTTTGAAGAATGTCCCATGTGCAGCTGAGAAGAATGTGTATTCTGATGTAATTAGGTGGAACACTCTGTTAACATCTACTAAGTCCAATTGCTCACAGGTATGATTCAGTTCTATTATTTCTTTGCTGACTTTTTGTCTATTTGATCTATCTCTTTGTGACAATAGGGTATTAAGGTCCCCTGTTATAATTGTCTTCTTGTGTATTTGTTTTTTCAAGTCCATAAGTATTTGTCTTATATAGTTGGGTGCTCCTGTTTTTGGTGCATATCTATTTATAACTGTTAGTTCTTCCTCTTGAATTTTTCCACTAACAAGTATATAGTGACCTTCTTTATCTCTTTTAATCATTTTAGTTTTGAAGTTCACATTGTCTGCAAATAGAATAGTTACCCCTGCTTTTATCTGGGTTTCTGTTGCATAGAATACTATTTCCATCCTTTGACTTTTAATCTATGAGTTTCCTTTTGGGTCAGATGTGTTTCTTGTATACAGCATATTGTGGGATCATGTTTCTTGATTCATTCTGTTAACCTGTTTCTTTTGATAAGTGAATTGAGGCCATTTACATTTATGGATATCACTGATATGTGCTGGCTCGATTTTGCCATGTTATGTTCCAGTTGTTTGATTTCTGCTTTTCCTCCTTGTTTAATTGCTTTCCTGCCTGGTGGTTTCTTTATGTTGTTATTCTGGAGATTGTGGTCATTTTTATCTCTATCTAGCATGTCTTTCAATACTCTTTCTAGGGTTGGTTTTGTGGCCATGAATTTCTTCAGTTGTTCTTTGTCATGGAAGTATCTTGTTTCTCCATTAAATTTGAAAGACATTTTTTCTATGTACATCAGTCTGGGTTGA